AAAACTGTTAGCGAAAGAAGCATCACCTTGCCGCTTTTGCCCTTTTGCCTTTTGGCAATGGCTCTTGTTAGGTAGTGTTTTTCCTCTACGTCGACCTTTCAGACTTGGCGAGGGATTGCGATTGAAGGCTGCACAACGAATTTTGCGACTTGACTCGTTTCTTGTTGAGAGTACAGTGACAAAACTTGAGAAGGACACCACGAAGGTGAGGGTTGGAGACAGCGTTTGCAGCCGCAAATCAGTTTAACCGTATGCATTTCCAGGCTAGAGACGAGCTGAAGTGGGAACTGGAGCAGTTGCAGCAACAGAATGCTCAGCTACGGAAGGACAATCGTCAGTTGAAGATTGAACACATGCGTCTGGAAACCCGTGTCGAGGTGCTTGAGCAGAAATTCAAGACTCTGGCTCGACTACTCAGCTAAAGTGCCCTCAGTGCCCTCTCTGTTCGCTCGCTTTTCGAGGAACCAAAACGTCGTGGAATTTTCGGGCTATGCTGGCTGGCCGAAGCTTGTCTGTTAGGACCCATTTTGGTGTTGAGCGGCTCGAGGGACCTGCGGCAGATTCCTTACTTCCTCCGATGCGAGTTGCGCTTTTCGTGGGGCCTTTTTTCTGAACGCAGCTCGAGAAGCGCGATCTCGCTCGATGCCGATCCCATGATTAACTGCGCGAGCATCCTACTTACTCCTACTCTACCGTACTTTCGACTATGCCGGTTTACCTTATGGAAGTGAACATTTCGATTGATTTTCGGTAGGCTTTCTCTATTCAGCTAGTGCAGATGCTACACTAAGGTGATTCTCTTACCTGCTCACCTACAAAATTTTTTTCAAAAACTACCAAAAGTAGATGTTCTACTATGTGTCACCGCCGCTCTTATAAGCCCTTCGAGATTGGTAGTGAAACATTTGCTCGATTTGTGAACTGCAGGAAACCGAAATTTTACTTTTCGGGAGAATAATACTGCGATTTGGTCACTGGGGCTGGGTACAGCAAGGCTCGGCAGGTAACAGGTCCCCAAAAGTCTGCATCTCTGGACGCGTTCCCTTATTCTTATCATGACGACTGCATCATCGACCAGAGACGCAGAGTTTTGGGGGTCCTTTCCGGGCCGGGCTTTGCTGTACCTGGTCCCTGATGTTTAAAGGTGGCAACTGCGACAAGTTGATAGCGATAAAATGTGAAAGTAGAGGTGCCAAGTGGTGCGTCGGTGAAGAAAACCAAGGGAAACAGCTCAAAACCAAGAAGCGGGTCTTTATTTCGCGCACTGGTTAGCGGTCGACGATTGTTAACGACACAGTGAGGGTAATCAAGGTAGAGTTAAAATGAATTTCCTTAAAGTATGGGCCTCATGCCAACGGCATAGACAGCTGCTGCTCGGTAGCTGTCCAATAGTGTTATAAAGATGGATGGTGAACTTTTGATTTGAATACCTGTCTTTTCACTGTGCCGGCGGTAGCGTGCGAGGCGTAGAGTGTGAGTGCCTTTGTCGCCTTAGTATCCGTTAAGGCGACCTTCTGCCGCATAAGCGTCACCTACCGCCGCCTGGACATTCCCCTACCCTCTCCATGACCCACCTTTTCTCTCATGAGCATCCAATTTGTTACGATTTTTGCCTTACACCCCGACGAGGAAGATATACCGTGCTAAACTATTTGAACCCATTGTGATAATGATAAAAAGTCCGATCCAAATTATTTACTGAGATGCATCGATATTTTGATGTATTTTCATTGGCCAGCGGCACCCGAAAATTCCAAGTCGCAGCACGTTATGTAGTCTCACTGTTACTGATGACTCGGGTAGGCTAAACAATTGTATTAAATGGACTCGGGAAGGCTGGCAAAAAGCGGAGCGGTGTTTTAGTAGCAACGTAAAAAGGCGCCATGAGAGAAATTTCTATAGAGTGCATGCTGTCTGATACTTGTTTCAACCTCCGTAACAGCTGTGGCTTCTATGACGCCATGGACCAGTAAGCTTCAACTCTTTATGGAACTTTGACATAAGATCTATGTAAAATCGATAGGCAAAATGCAATAGGGGGCCTCACTTACGCTAGATTAGACCAGATGAGTGATCATGGAATAACCCCTACAGTTTAAAAAACTTCCGGTGAACACACCTTTTTTAAAGGGTAACAGGTGGGGAATAAGGTCACTTTCCGAACTGGTCTACGTTTACCTGGATAAGGCCGATCTCAAGACTCGCATATCGATCGAATTCGCTAAAGCATGCCGCGGTCCGCGTCGCTCGCTGCGATTCGCAGAGTCTGAACATCGGTTTGGAGGAGCAAAGTATTGCCGGTCAATCGCCATTTACCGGCGGATGTGGGTGATTAAACGGTGAATTCGTCCGTACAGACAGTAGCGAATTGGGCCATTCTTGGGCTTATGTACTTCATCTTGAAAAGCTTCTGGTGCTCTCAAAACCTACGATTGAAATATCTTATTCTGATTTCGAACACACATGCAACGGTACTTTTACCGTAATTGGTGGCCACCCTGTAGCAACAAATGGAAACCAAACAACACTTGCTACGTGAACTTTCCAGGGGAGTTGCGAAGTTGCGAACGGCCAAATTTGGCAGGAAATGCAGCAAGAGATATGGCACCAAGCTAGCGCCAGATTGCCCGTGTTTCAAAAATGGGTACCATATTCTTGGTCAGGTCACCTATTTACCCCTATTAGCAAACTTTCAGAGGAAATTGAAAATGCTAATGGGGATAGATTAGCTCGCTTTATAGACTTCACTGGATTTCCTGCCAATTTTGACCGCTCATAATTTTCTTGAAAAGATCACGCAGCAGTTTAGGCCGATGTCAGACTTTGCGAATCGAGCGATTTGCTAGCGTCCACGGTTCGCAGCGAATCGCTCAATTGGCTGGTACCGCAACGCGACCGCGGACGCTAGCGAATCGCTCGATTCGCAAAGTATGACATCAGCTTTAGTTTCCATATTTTAAGCGGCCTCGATCGATAAACTCAGGTTTTCATTTACTGTTCCATGGAAAATTTGGGAGCTTTCCCTGGTGAAACCGCTTGAGTGAACTGTCCCGAGGTGTTTGTCAGTGACAGTCCAGCAATCAAGCTTCGATGTTTTCTCGATAATTTTGAATTATTTTGATTTTGCTCTTTCGTTATCGATTCCTTCATTTAGACGGTGCTGATGAAGCTCTCTAATGTTTATGATGTTCTTTTCCACCTTTTCTACCATGCGTTTTAGCTCCTTCCTCCTGTCGTAGTTTTTTGTCAATCCGTGATAGAGAAATTTTTTGGTAGCGATTCTCCTCTCTACAGTCCAGCCTTCTTCGACATTAATTATCTTCCATACGACATTGCTTGCTCCTGCCAAATAACGCTCAATGGCCGTTTTTCTTGGCAAACATGACCAAACGACATTTTGCTGGCGATGCGATATGCAGAAATAGATTCTCAGTTTATTTAATAAGTACACTAGTATTTAGTTCGTTTGAAACATGAAATCATTATTATATGTATAAACCATTTACTTGCTGCGTGGATCTGTCTTTTGATTTGTACACCTGTACCTCTGCAAGCTGAGTGAGCTTCATGTCTGACTTACTTAAAGGCACAGGCCTCGGTCAAAACTTGTGCTTGTTCCACTTGAAAATGGATCAAGAGGCGTGAAGAGGAGAGTTAGCGCGAAAAAAAAACAAGCCATAGATGTAAAATTAATGAAGTGAAACAGAATATAAGAATATAGAAGATGAAATAGAATGAAATAAAAATTTAAATAGCCTTCATTTGTTGTGAGCTCAACCACGACGAAGAGACACAGTGCGGCGAGGAGAGGCAATACGCGGGAGGATGTTTCGTACGAGAAAGCGCAGACATCGCGTGTGGTGAAAACGAGTATAAATGGCACTATCGCAGTGATCACTGCAAGTCGTCAACGTCATTGTCGCGCTCTTTCGAGCAGCGACTGAGCGCCGCGACTCCTATGCTTTGTGACTCTGCTACCTCACTTACCGGCACGGTTGCTCAAAATATTGGCTCGTTTGGAAAGTTGACGCCGATTTTGACCAGAAGGAATGAATTCAAGGGCGCATACTCAATTCAAACA